AAAAAAAAGCTCCCAACTTGTTGCTCCACCATCTCTCTTCACTCTTTTGTTCAAAGTAACAAAAGTGCCTTTACTAGCAAAATTCCAGTGTTAATTCCTCTTTATGTTTGTAGATGTTATCATTTTTTGCTTTCAGTATTGCCCGCTCTCTGCAGTTCTCACATCACATCTCTTGCCTGCATGTTTTAATGCATTGGTGTTGTGTGAGACCCAACGCAACAGTCATTGCCAGGGGATATGAAAATAACAGAACACGCTTTTTAGTACCCTTTTTTTCTGCAGAGTTCCCCCTTTTCTTCTTTATATATTATGAAAGTTGCACAAGAGCTTTTCTGCCCAAAATAAGCTGGAACTGTGAATTTCCAGTGGACTGCAGACTATCTGGCCTTTAGACTTCTGAATACATGAAATTGTCCGAGTTGTAGCACTGCTTTTTTCCATTATTTTTTTCTTTCACTTTATGCAATCCACACAGTGCAGAATGCATTTGCTTTGTTTTCACATGTGCACTCACTGACAACTTTTTGGGTGCGCCTGTTCAACTCCTTACTATTGCAAATATCTCTTTAGGACTGTGAAGACATAGTCAATCTGCTAATGTTCAAATGTAGCATCAGAATGAGGAAGAATCAGTGATTTGAGTGACTAAATATTGCTGATTGTTGGTGCCATAGAAGGTCAAAAGTAACTAAGAGAACCAATCATTATGTCAAGCTACACAGAAGAACATCTCTGAAGGCAAAACAAATCAAACTTTGAAGCATCTGGGGTACAGCAGCTGAAGACCACACCAGGTGTGACCTCTGTCAGCTAAGAACAGGATACTGAGGCTACAATACAAATGGACAGTATAAGTGTCTAGTGTAAATGACATGTAAGCATGTATCTGTCCTTCCTTGTATCAACAGTTTAGGCTGCTGGTGGTGTAATGATATGGAGGATATCTTCTTGGCATACTTTGAGCCCTGTTTTACCAGCTGAGCATCATGTCCATTCATCTATGACCACATTGTACCCATCTTCTGATTACTGCTTCCAGCAGGATAAAAATCCATGTGACACAGCTCAGATGATCTCACACTGGTATCTTCACCGTGACAGTGAGTTCACTGTATTCAAATGTCCTCCCCAGTCACCAGATCTCAATCCAATAGATGAGTTGGGGTGGAGTTTTCCATCATGGATGTGACTGCTACCATGCAATCTTCCTTTTTCAGCTGCTCCCTTTAGGGGTTGGATCATCTGCATCCAAGATTTTATGCCGAATGCCCTCACTGACACCAGCCTCCCCACCTGACTGGGCTTGGGACAGGCACTAGGAATACACTGTCATGGTGTGTCGTGGTTGGGTTGATGCTGTAATGGTAATATGGACCAAAACTTCTTAGGAAGCATTCCAGCTTCCAGCATTGTGTTGAATCTTTGCTATGAAGAATTAAGGCAGCTCTTATGGCAAAAACCGGTTTATCCTGGTACTAGCAATATGTACCTAATAAAGTGGCCAGTGAGTGTAGATCTTTCTGTACTTCCTCTACTCTTCTTAGTGCACTTCTTTACTTTGATTAACTTCCACAGGTGGAAGTTGGAGTTGCAGAAGAAGTTGACACGATTGAGTCCATATATCACAATATAATATGACACTTAGATCCCTTGAAGCCCTTGTTTTGTTTGATTTCCTTGAAAGCTCTAAGATGATCATTCATGAGGCATCCAATTTTTAAAGAAAGCGATAGAGTTTTGTTGTTTTGGGTGTTTTTGTCCACACCATCTGTCCACTAAGATTCCTGAAATTTGGCTTGGTAGCTTTTGCCATCTTTCTGACCGTTAGACAAACAGCACTGTAAACCTACCTCTGACCCAGCTTTCACTTTGGCAGAGGAATAGGAGAAAAATGTCTGCATGCACTTCTCCAAAGTTTCCTAAGCAACTAGAAATGTTGGCAAGTTTCATGCTAGCCACTGAAATTAAAGCAAGCATCTAAACGTTGGAGGAAAAAGTCAATTTTAGTTGTTGACTAATGTTCTTCTCTAGCATTAGGTTTTCTATCACATCTAGAATTTGTAAGTAATGAACAAAAAAAGCCTTGCAGAAACTTGTATGGATAAACAGTCATAGATGAACTCTAGGTGTGACTGTTATATTTTACACTTCAGCTGTCTGTGGCTACAAATGCTCGCCCTGCATAAGTGTCTCTGAACAAAGCTGTACTGTGTCTCTGCTGGTTTGGGGCTGGCCAGGACCTCTGACTTTCTTTAAAGGGGAGGGCAGTGAGCTATTTCACGGCGAGGATCACACACAAAAAAAGTGCTCAAAGTAGAAGTGCGTCCTTTTTCTTTTTTTTTTTTCGTCATTACTGTTGTTATCATGTACTTTGAATCTGCTCATGAGGTAAACTTAAACCAGAACTCAAAAATCATGCTAATATTCTTGTCAACTCCTCTGAAATCCTTCACTGTGCCTTTCAAGTGTTTGTTTCCTCTCATTTTTAAGGATTTATTTTCATTAGTTCCACTGTGTGTTCGATTTTTTTTTCCTGCACAATCCTCACTTTTTTTTTTTACTGCATCTTTTTTTTAATTTCAGATTTATCATTCACCAATTCACAAGCAAGCTGAAAGTAAGTCACTCATCAGTTTCTTCAATGTCTAAAGCTGTAATATTATTTTATGTGGACAGATGCTATACTGTCCTGCTTTCCATCTCATGCCATTGAATGCATCCATTTAGCAGTGACAAGCATGTGCTTGATAATTGTGGCTTTTTCGTAAATGTAAATTAATTTTTTTGTTTCCACAGTGGAACTGAATGAAACTGGATTCAAGTTTGTGCGAAAGTGCATCAATTACATTGAAACAAAAGGTAAACGGTTCTGTTAAAGGATCGTTCTTGCTTTTTTTGCCTTTTTAATTTTTCTTCTTTCCCTTAAGGGGGCGTAGTTGAGTCACGTGTGACACATTGACACTACTCCGCTGGCTGCTCTCTGTGAGACATGCCCTTCTTTATAATAAGAGTTGTCTGAAATGTAGTATTTTTCACATTATAAAGGATTTTAATCATCACGTTGCTCTTTCTTTCTTGCTTGTTATGTGAGGGTCTATTAAATTCAGAGGTTTTTACCTCTTCTTCACATCTTCCCTTCATGCTCATTGTTGCTAAAACTCACACCCTAATGATTAAAACCTACAGTCACAGTATTTTTCTCCAGTGTCATGATTCATCTTACTGGAGTGAAGCTAAGCTCTAAAAATATTAACATGTCTATGTTTTAAACTGAATACTCTAGTGAAAGAGAGATTTTTTTTTTTGTATCTGTAATCAACATCAAGGAACATCAGGAACATTCAAGGGAATCATGTGGGCATTTCCACAGCTCTCTATTTGTCCACACACTTTTTTTTAACCTTCCCCATGTCTTCTTCCTAGGAGCCACACAGGAAGGAGTGTACAGGACGGTTGGCAGCAACATCCAAGTGCAGAAGCTTTTAAACGCCTTCTTCGGTAAGCTTGTGAAAATTTGCTACATCTGCCCTTTTACAATGTTTCACTCTGTTAGACTTATTAACACGGCACAACAGGTTCTGCAAGTTTCGATCGGGCATGACAGGGAAACCTCTGCTGACTCACTGTTCCTGCTTCTGGAAGGCTCAACCTTAAAATTGCTTTAAGCTATATCCATGGTAGCCAGTAGCTGAGCATTTTAGCCATGCTAGTTTTATTTAAAACAGATCCTTTCCATATTTGTAATGCTGACTGTGACACTTAGCATCACTTAAATTGACCATAATTTACAGAATTAACTTAAGACTTCAAACTAGCCACTGAAGCCATAAACTCATAGTGTTTTGAAGTGAGAGAGCAAGGGATCTTAAGGGGTCATTTACTAGTATGTCTGCCACTGGGATATGTTTTTGCAGCCACAGGCTGTACATAAAAGATGGATTTGTTTCCTTTTTTAAAAATGTCCAGCAGGGGGCGACCAGTGTGGTTGCTAAAGTGCTTGTGGTTCTGCAATAGACCATATCTATTGGTCTAGGCCATATCCTCCTGACAACCGAGGAAAAAAAAGAATCTTCAAATGTAACTTTTTTGTGATTTCCTACCCCAAAAAACACATGAGATATCAATGGAAAGCCAAGGATGTCCTCTGTTTAGTACACCGGGACTTGGTAAGGTAGCTCAAATAAGTAAAAAACAAAAGAAAATGGCTATTATAGAGGACATAAAGAATAAGCTGGTTTTCAGAAGATTTCAGATAGAACGTAAAGTTCATTTTGTAAATTATGATGCCTTTTAGAGTCAGACATAAAGATAAAACAGGATGTGCTCAATGAGTAACGACCTGTCAATCACAAGTCGTGGGCTGTCTCTCTTTTAGCAAGATGGTGACAACGAAAATGGTCAGCTCCAGGCTTCACTACAGGATGCCACAAACCAGTTGGTGAAATCACAGTGGCTACGTCCATCAGTTATGACACTTCAAGCTGGGGGAAACCACGCTAGTTTAAGGCACCTTGGCCAGGGCTTTCTTTTCAGACTCAGAAACTATGCCTTTATTAGGGTAGACCAATTCAGGTTCAATACCAATAATGTGTTTCATAGTAGTGGTGTGAACTTTCTCTGTTTACTCTAGGCTTCCTGCTCCAGGCTCTGTGTGTGTGCTCAAACAGAAAATAGATCAAACCAGACTTCATTCATTTAAACATTCCTGATGCATTCCCGCAGCCAAATGACAGAGATGTGGAAATTACTTTCGATTTTTTGGTCAGATTAAAGTGAAATTAACTTTAGGGATTTAATATTCTTGGTGATAAACAACCTACAAATAATTCAAATAAAAAAATTGAATTGAATTAGTATAAATACAGGTGCTTTATATTTTAAGGTAAAAACCCTACAAGACTCCAGCAATGTGACAATCCCCTGTAAGCAAGTGCTTGGCAACGGTGGGAAGAAGGAAGAACTCCCTTTTTAACAGGAAGAAACTGCCGGCAGAACCGAGCTCAGGGAGGGGTGGCCATCTGCTGCCACTGAATAATTTTCAAATCTCTGTTCTTTTAGTTGCAATCGAGCAGTGCAGAATAGACTTGGCAGCAGGTGAGGATCACGCATGAAAACATTTATATATTTTCTGCATTAGTAGCTGAATGCTAAACAAAGTCGGCACATTTTGCACTGCCGCAACTGTAGTTGACAATTTGGTGAAAAAAAAAAGAAAGAAAAAAGAAAGCATCTTTTCCAGCCAATTTGAAACCATAACCTGCCCTGGATCAGGTCAGGACAAGTTGCTATAGTAACTAACCAGGTAAAGAGAGAGCCACCTTCGTGATGCTTAAAACTCTGACTTTGAGCTCACCAGACCTCACTAACACAGTAATGTTGCTTGTAGTAAAACCCTCTGCTCCTGATGACAGTGGGTTCTTTGAGGTTGCTGTAGAGCTGGCGTTCTCCCCCAGCTGTGTGGGGAGATGTGTGTAAACATAACTGTTAAGGAATGCTGCTGTTGCTCTTTTTTTTTTTTTTTTCAGATGTCCTCATGACGCTTATCTGTTATACAATGTGGCCCACACACGTCACATCTAGTTAGTGTCTTTGAGTAATTAAGGTAGCATGAGCCTTTTTTCCTGCTCTTTCATAGACCCTGCAAACCCAGGAGATGTGGATCTCCACAGCAGCGACTGGGATGTTAAAACAGTCACAAGTGCTTTGAAGTTTTATCTCAGGTATGTGTGTGTGTTTACATATGACATTATATTATATTATTTCCCTATTATTATTATTATTATTATTATTATTATTATTATTATTATTAAATGCCTTTTAATTGGTCCAGGGTCAGATTTGTTTATATTCTTACATGCACTTTTGCAAAATATATAATCGCAGGGTTGTAAAATCCCCAAAGTATTTTTCCAGCATTGATTGTATAATATGTACAGATGTGGATCTGCACATCTGAAACACATTTTTATTACCACAGTAACAAATGTGGGCTTGACAGAAGATGCACTCGCTTTCGCTCGCTCACTGTCTCATTACTTTCTAGTGTAACTCTATACTGAGGGAATGCTGCTTTTTGGCTTTGTCGTGTTTTTAATGTGGTGAGTTATATTGCACTTGTGTTTACTTGTGTGCCCTTATTTATTTGCAGGAGTTTGTCTGAACCTCTAATGACCTACAGTCTGCACAGAGACCTCATGTGTGCTGCAAGTAAGACGTGTTTTGGAAGTGTTCCATTGCTAAGGCCGGGGAGGTTATGTTCTAATGTGTGCCTCCTTTCTAAAATCTTTCCTTGAATCTAGACTTACCAAAGGCTTGTGTTATGTGTATTAACATGGTTCAATCCAGTTGGTTTTCTGTTTAGCTATGCCAGACAAATGGAAGGTTAAAGAGTGACATGTGCTTTTTACACTTGTACGTCTTTAACATATAGTTTTCAGTTGCAATTATGATCTTCACGTGAATTTTTTTTGTGTGACGGATAATTTAGTATTTGCAAAACACCCCCAAAATAGTACACAGAGATTTTATATAAGGCAAGAAAAATGGCAGTAAAGGATAAAAGAAGGCATCAATACTGTGCATGCTGGAGGTTCACTGCCATGTCAGGCAACACTATATAACTCTGGACACTAAAGGAAATCTGAGACTCCTATTTGTTTTTATCTGTCACACAGCAATACTGTAAAAACCAAGAAGACAATGACTTTAATAGCATCAGCCTCATTCTGTCAGGATGTTGCATTAAGGCAGCTGGTGGCCTCAGGTTCCTGGAAATGCCATTCATTATAGGAAATGAGGGGGCTTCTCGTTATATGGCCTGACATTCTGGAGACACTCTTTTATTAGTTTCACGACGGTGCAGAAAGGCTGTTGCCCAGTCCATGCTCTCTCAGAAAGTGATGCTGTTTTTGGTTGTGATTAACACAGAACGATTGATTTTATTGAGATGACATAAAAGGAAAATGAAATGATCATGATTTCTATAACTTCTTGTCTGTGTGACAGAGTCAGATAATCTGGACATTCGACTGAGTGAAATCCATTCACTTACCTACAAGCTGCCAGAGAAGAATCGGGAGATGCTGGAGATGCTTATAAAGCACTTGGTGAAGTAAGTGCGAGCTTACTCGAATGCGACTTGCAGAGCAGCTCTTCCTGTCGTTCTAGAAGGAGCTCTGTTCGTGTGCCACTGGCTGTTTTGAGTTAGTGTTTTACTCAACCCAGCCTTCCATTTGTTGACAGCGTGTGCAGCCACAGCGACGAAAACCTGATGACTTCTTCAAATATGGCGGTTATCTTTGGGCCCACGCTAATGAGAGCAAAGGAGGAAACTGTGGCGGCCATGCTGGATATCAAGTTCCAAAATATCGTGGTTGAGATTCTGATAGAGCACTGCAAAAAGGTACGGCTGAAGTGATGTCGTTCACCCAGAGAGTTGTGAGACCATTAAAATTCATAGGTATGTTAAGCTATTACTGTTGGTGGTTTGCTTAACGTAAAGTAAGAAAAAAGGGGAAAACTGAAAATGTGGCTCAGTCCAAAGGTAATAAAATCTACCTACCAGCACTTTTAAAGCCAACTAATCAACATGTTGCCTCCTTTGTTTTGGAGTGCAAAACACAGCTGAGGATTTCTTTCCAAGCTCTTCTTTTATTTGTCTTGGCAAGGCTGCTGAAGGCTTTGGAGTTTCCTGTACATAACTGCCAGTAAAACAGCAAATTGCTGTTTTTATGGTTTGGGTTTTATATGAGTTAACTAAAAAAGTCCTCAGGACTGAGCCAGGCTATCTGACTGTCCTGCTGGTTGCTCTACATCTATGCTTTTAAAGCAACTTTGTGCAGCACAAGCAGCTTTGTGTTTGTCACCGCTCTAGTCATTAAGTTACTACTTTGGTATTTGTGCTTTTTTTTCCCCTCTCTTTGTTGTTCTATGTTAATGTCATTCTTAAGAAAAAAAATACTTTTCTAGTTTCTTTTTTTCTTTATCATGTAAAGATTTTTTACTTCTTTCAGCAGAGACTCTGTGGAGCTGAAAAAGTAGCCAGTGAACTAAAGTGTTACTGTGACTTTTTTCTTTTTCTTTTTTCAATATGGTTGCAGATCTTCAGTCATATGCCAGAGGACAGCACTGCCCCACCTGTCCCACCCCCGCGGATCAACCCGAGAAAACGGCAACCCATCACAATCTCCAAGCGACCGGCTCGTGTTTATCAAGCTCTTAGTCACGAGCTTTACCAGCACACTGAGAGTAATTATCAGCCTCTCTTGGCCTGATTGTCACCATCATCCTCATCATTATCCCATGCTGTCTTTGCTGAGCATACAGTAGATTTTTTAAAAAATGTTGTTTTTAAATATATGAATTAATTCATTTTATTCTTTAAAAAGACTCGTACCACAGCGTACCTGCAGGGTCATTTCTTGACATTTTCGAAATAGGATTTATTGTAGTGTGTGTGTGTGTGTGTGTGTCAGGCAAAGCAGTTATTACATACTTCAAAACTTGGAATTTGTTTGTTAAATTAAATTCTATTCTGTTTCTCTTCTTTTATAATTCTCTATCTGTATCATCTTCAAATGTTGTTAGAAAATAATTTGGTGCTTCCTTTTTAAAAAAAAATTAATTTCGAGCACAAATGTATCTACAATTTGATCTCACGTTAATCTTTTTTTTTTTTTTTTGTCAATGCCTCAGGCTAAATCATTCAATTTATTGCTTTATTGAATCTGTTGCTAAGTGGCTGTGACTCTTGTCTTTTCATAGACAGTGCGAGAGAAAGTTTGGGTGCATGCAGCTTGCTATGTTTGCATTGTGTGCATTATGTGGCCAAATAACACGGTTATATGGTTAATCCAGAGCTCGAATGATCAGTTTGTGTGCATTGTAATTATTGTAATAATAATACAAGTTTACCAGATTAACGTCATAGAGTAAAATATTTCCATATAACTTCATGTTTTTAATTTACAGCAACCAAACTGTTAATGTTGCTTCTTTGTAACAGATGGTCAGAGTGACAATTCCAACGTGGATGGTGAAAACCCAGTGAGCCCCACTCCCATACAGCGTCAGAAGAGACAAGCATTAGTACCCAAAGCAGCTATCCGTCAAGACAGGCAACCAGAATCTGATGCTTCTTCAGCAGGAAATGGGGAGCCTGGGATCTACGTGAGCAGGGTGCCATCCTTTCAGGGCAAAAAAACACCTGCAAAAGGGGCAACCACCAAAGAAGGTGATTTAATGGAAAATTCCCTATCTCATACATGCTCGTCAGCAATGAAAAAAGGCCCCTTAGAGGACAGAGGGATACACCGAGTATGAAAAGCAAAGTGGTAGTTTATTATGGCCAAGATCTGGGTAGTCGAGTATGGAAGAAAATGTTCAACATTCTCAGGCAATGCATGTGGCTACATGTAGCATTTAAAAATCATTAATCTTTCCCATTGACTTGCTCTTTTATCAATAACACTTTTCTTTTACTTTTATACTAATAGTAACAATCATGCCTATTGTGTTGGTTTACAACTTTGTGTGTTTCAGCATGTACAACGGCTGTAACTTTGATGCCGCTGTGTCTGTCAATTTATTATTTAATTATACACTGCTATAACCTTGGGAAGTAAACAAGGTTAAATGGAGCTTTTTATTTGTATAAAAAGAACTTGATGGCAAGAAGCAATCATAGTAGAAGATCTCCAGAGTTAATTTATGAAGCAGAGTGTTACGCAAACATTTAGAGCTGACAATGAAGCATGGCAGTCGCTTGGTTGCAGATTTTAAGCTTTTCCTCATGTGTTAACTGCCCATCATATGAATTGAAGAAGTGTTGATTTTAGTTACCAGTGGCCTAAGATGGCCCATTTATAGTATTTATGCACTCATAAAAGCCTTATTTGATGAAAAAAAACATCTATTTAAGCAAATGTTGATTACACTATTTTTCTACAGCTTGTGGTGTTTAAAATATCAGTATTACATGACATCATTTCATGCTTTCACTTGTAATGTCAAGTATATTGTCTTTACTGAATATATCAGGAGTTTATCTCAGATAAATAACTGCGCAAATGCACTTTATGTGAACTAGTCCAACCCACAATCTCCTGAAATCTCCTGAAAAAAGTTTTTTTTTTTTTTTTCAGGAGATTCTGATGGTCTGACCAGAACAAGGTCCACGGAGAAACAGCAGATTTGTAGACCCCCAGTTAGGCCTCCTGAGCCACCGTCCAGGTTCCCCGCTCCACAAAAGCTTCCAACTGCAGCCAGCAGTGAGGGCACAACCACATCCTAGTAAGTACTCTTCATACATGCAAAAGTCTTACCACATGCTTATATATTTAACTGCAGTGTGTGCAAAATTATTGAGCTTAAATTGTGGTTGACATGAAAATTCCAGTAACTCAGCAGTGCACAATGCTACGTTAATTAAACCAGAAAATAATAGTTATTATGACACTAATGCTGAGAGACAGGCCACAAGTTGGAATAAAAACAATGAAACCACAAATCTATTCTGTCATCACTGCAGACTACTGATAGTGATGTCATCATGATGTCTTTTTAAGATACATTGCACAGCACATACGTCTTTAGTTAATGCCATAGAGCTATACAGCTGATTGAATTAACTTTAGGAACTGTAATGAAGCGTATTGTGATTTTTTTTTTTTTTTTTCCACCTCTGGAGGTGGAAGAGAACACAGACAGAAATAAAAGGATAGTTATGAACTAGGCTCCATTCATCAGGTGAAAGGAACGTGACTGCAGCTCACCAATGTTTCTAAATAAGCAACTGTTTGCTTCAAAAACATTGCCACATTACTAAATAAAGATAGTATCAAAGTATCTGTTGCTGCCTCCAAAATAAGATTTGTCAGATTTAAGTTGTTTTTCTTGTTAGAGTATAATAATACAGAGCATGTTGGTTCTGCTTAAAATAAATGACCATAGCTGCAACAGCAATGACTGATGGCAGTTTTAAATCTTAAATGCATCATATTGTCTGTGTACAGTGTCAACATCTCTACTATTTTTTCCCCAGCGTTGCATCTAAAACAAAGTTTTTTGAAAACGCCTCCAGGCAAGTCGGCAGGTATGTAAATGCTTTCTTATCAGGTATGCATGCATGTATATATTTTTACATGACAGCTGATGTTCATTTAAAAAAGCTTAGCAGAAGGTGAGACTGATTTAACAAATTCATGTGTACAACTCATTGTCAGTAAAACTGTGTACATGTTGTTTTTTTCCCTGTAAAATTAAAGACAGTCAGTCAGATTATAAACAGCAATTTTACTCCTAAGACAATGCCATGATTTTATGAACTACTGTTGGACAGCTGGACACAGACAGCTTGCAGCTAATTACAATCAATACTCTAGAAGGCTCTCAAAAACCCACTCAGCATTGCAAAATCTTAATTACATTTTTGAATAAATACTAAATATGATTTCCTAAACTCTGAAATAAGATTAAATTTTGTACTGCAAGCTGTAGAAGAATAGTACCCTGTATTGTTAAATGTGACACATTTAAGCAATGTTAATGGATTGCCCTTTATTAAAAACAAATTATGTGCTTTTAGGTGTTGTTTGCAAATGCAGAAGAAGAGCTAGGGGTTAAAAATATGAATAGCTTGCATACAGTAAAACCTTGATTTGACAGTTACAAAATCATGATATGGATATTGATAAGTTTTGAGTTGGAAAGGTTTGGACACGGTTATTTTGAGGGCTGAGCTACGTAATTGCATATGTCTCTGTAATGGTTTCCCTATTAGTATACAAAATAAACACAACATGATTTACTATTGTTTGCAATAGGCAAGGTAACACGTGAAAAGCAGCTGAAGGTTCAAAGTTTAAATTTTTTACATTAATGTGCAAAAAACAGTTTCATTATTCTTTTTTTCTATGAATCCTTAACTTGAAGATCTTTTGTTTTGATACAAACAGATATGTTGGTAGCGTAGTGGTTAACACGTTGGCTTGGTAAGCAAAAGGTCACTGGCTTCAATTTCAGCTGGAAACACAAATCAGGAAGGGCATCCAGCATCTATTCTGTGTCCTTGCTCTCATCTCTTTACCCTGACCCACACACAATGGCTGCCACTCCCTGAGCCTGGTTCTCCTAGAGGTTCCTTTCTGTTAAAAGGGAGTTTTTCATTCCTACTGCCACCAAGGGCTTGCTTTATAGTGCTGATTGTTGGGGCTTTCTCTCTACTATTGTAGGGTCTTTACCTTACAGTATAAAGTACCTTGAGGCGACAGTTGTTGTACCTTGGCGCTATATAAATAAAATGTAATTAATTAATGCATTAAAATGTTGACATTGAAAATGTGCTAGAATAGTGTTCCTCCTATTCAGGTGTCACTGAATGTAATTTGGGATTACTGTTGCCCAACGCTGGCTCTGTGTGAGAGTCTTTCCTTTGACTTTTATAAATACCTAAAGTATCATGCAACATACAGATGAAAAGTAATTTTGTGAAGCATTACTATGTGGATCAGTTGGGATCTGATGCTTGGCTATGTTTTGTGTACTTTTAAACAACCACAACATTTAATAAAGGACACTTTGAATATGTCAAATTTATGCATGCGTGTTCGTAAGTGGCTGCATTGTTAGTCGGATAAACTTTCCACTCCTACTTTTTTTTCCCAGTTGCGGTATCACTCTGATTTTTCCAACTTGGTAAATCTGTCACTTTGTGTGTCAGGTGTTCTACTTTTTGGATAATTATTTATAAATTCAAGTTTACTTGGTTTGCTCTCATTTGGAGCTTGCAGACTCCTGTGTGTTACGAGTGTGTGAGAGAGAGTGTGTGAGAAATAAAACAGCCTCACACTCACTCGTGGAGAGATGGAAAACCTGTTCCTATGGGCTCTCTTAGGCTACCCCCTTTCACAGTCCCTTTTGTGAGGTGGAAAAAGACACACATGCGCTTTGATTTGCAAGTTAAGGTCCTTGCCGTTCACCCTGTAGCTGCTATAAATAAACAGTGTCCAAATGGGAAGAACTAGTGGGAGTGTTATCAAAGAAAGATTATATCCTCATTGTTCTTTAGAGTGTTCTCTTTGAAATTGATGTCCAGTTTATATAAACACGACAAAAAAGGAGGCTAAGCAGCTCGTAAACATTCAGTTTTTGAAGATGATGTCTTGGCTTTGTCAGGACATCTTTTGGGGTGTTCCAGCTATGCAGTGGCTAGTACCCAGTTGGTGCTGGCTGTCTGATCCCACAAGTACAAGAAAGTACTGGAGCATAAACATAGCGTTTCCTGTATATGTGGCTGTGTAGAGTAGTTAGAGCAATTTTGAAATAATGAAAGGACCTGATCAACTGAGCTAGACTGTGGTGCAATGGAGGATAAGGTGGATAATGGAGGAGGTGGATAATGTTTACCATATGACATGGATGACTGTTCCTGGTCATTTACCTGATTAGCAGGTGTCAGTGGGATGCAGTATAGGAAGAATTCAAACCAGAGGAGAAACTGTTTTTTTTCTCATGCCAGGAAGCCTTGGATCCTGACATGTATGCTGAAGTTAAATTTAACACTTCACTTTTTCACATCTTCCTAAAATTGTTGGGGACAGCAGACACCCGTTCATGGCAGAGGTATGCCCTGATTGCAGCCATCTCTATGAGCATGATGAAGCGGGAATGGTTTGAAAAACATGTCAAGAGCTCAAGTTGTTATTTGGCTTCTGAACTGCTCAGATTTCAGTCGGATCTAATATCTGTGGAATGTGCTGGGGAAAGAAAAAAAGCACACAACTTGCAGAACTTGGATATGTGCTACTAATGCCTTAGCACCTAGTGTAAGAAATGTTTTGTAAAAACAGTAAACATTCTGTTACAGATTATTGTTTAATAGAATTACATTCACAACAAGTTGTGAAAAGCTGGTGAAATAGTGTTTGTAATGTTTTTGTTTTTGTTGTTTTTTTTTCTCTTCTATCTTAGTCCAGCGGGTTCATCATCAACATCGGCAGCAACGACGGTAAAAAAAGAGGTAACGTTAAATAGATATATTCAGTATTTGTAATGCTCTTCAGTCTTTCCCAGAGTAGTAAACTGACATACTGATGCTTGTGGGGGATTCACCTGCCTTCACATTGTAACACACTGGGTACCACTTTAATGCTATGTTTACATTTTAAGTTTCTATGTAGTAAGGTGTAGTCTGTCAGCTCCAGAGAAGAAGAGAAGCTTTCATATTGAATACGTTTTAATGTGTGTTCAGTGTCATTTAAGGTACATTTAAATGCGAAATATTATTACTTTTTTCCTGCTTTTTCCCAGTTTCTTCAACTCCTTGTGTTAAAATATAATTAGAAACAGTTCCTGACCAGGCGTTAGTATGTTAAAGCTAAGTGTATTATAATGTGTATTTTGAATTTAGTGTGTTAGTTGTGATTGTCCACATGCTCACTTACACTCTCACCCATTAAAGATTGGCAGCAAATCATGAAGCTCTCAGTTGTTGGATGTACAGTGCTGTGAAAAAGGATTTCCATCTTAAGTCTCCCAATACAAGCACATAACCTTAGCTACGGAGGCTGCTGTAGGACAAACACCTTTATTAGAATTTAAGACTGTACTCTGTAACTGCCCCAGACCACCAACATGTTTCTACTACTATTTCTGTATAAAAAGATTTTTTTGCACACACTCAATTTGAACATATTTGAATAATATGAAGTATAATATGAAATATTTAAATAATATCAACACTTTATGTAATTCAGATTTTTAATTTTTACCCTGGATCAAATATAAAAACTAGCCACCGTTCATCTTCGGTGAGTGCAGGCTGTCAGCCTACTGTTTATCTCAGATGTCAACATGTGTCCATTTCTGTTTATTTTGGAGGAGAAATTTCCCAAAAGGAGTGTGGTATGAGTTGATGAGTGAAAACTGTCCACTGACAGTTGTTGCTGAGGATATCATGAACTTTTCTCTTAGTAAGCATTGCTGTTTTTGCCGCTGTTAGCCAGCGTTTGAAGTATATCTAACACGTTTTTGTTTTTTTTTTTAAAAACCACTTGAGCCTAACATTAGCTGGCATAACCAGCTGTTGTTGTTTAGCCGGCTCAGCTGTCTGGAGATGGGACGGTTGCATGTCTAATCTGCTGACAATTTCAGGAATGAATAAACATATTTATGCACTATTTTTGTGCGTTAGAGCCCTGACTGCAGTTCAGGAGAAGAGACTTGAAGCGAGGAGCAAGAGCAGTGGTGTTTGAGGAGAAAGAAATGATTATAAAATGATAATGAAAATACATCACCATTACACAAACATATACATTATACATGACCGTATGATCATTTAGCATATGTACAAATGTTAACATTATAGCTTGAGCTAGTTAAGTTATGATCTATCCTATGGTCTGTCCCAGCGCTATACTGTATATTTTTAATGGATTCATTCACTGTTTATGAGGACACATTCCCTCAATAAATGCAGTAATAATATTAAAATTTAGTTGACGATCTGAAACGTGTAACTGTGGCAAATATGCAAAAAAAAGCTTCTGTACACCACTTCCTTGTGTATCATGTGACATTTGTGTAGTATGCTGTGCAGTGGATGAAGTTTACATTTAAGATTTCAAACAGCAACACCAAACGACTGGTGTACTGCATCAGGTACATCAGGTGACTAAAATATTCTTACATTCTTTCCATATTTGAAAGAGGCTGTCTGTGTTCCTTTTTCTAGGAATTTAAGTGAGGAAGATGTGGCTGACATCATGTGACCTGTAGGAGCCCATCAAGCTGGAGGGAGTCACCACTAATGAACTTAAATCGATCCAGTTTGTGTAAAAATAGACTGAGGAAATAGCTCTTAATTGAATTACTTGGTGTAAGGATCTTGTTGTGAAGCGAGCTCCTTTTTAAGGAGTTCGCAAAGTTACTGGTTCTGTGTTCAGTTAGCATTCCAAAGTTAGGCTGGAGTAAAAATAATTTACCTTTGTTTATTTTGTTAAATAAAATCTCTCTAGTCCTTTTACAATGTTTAATAGTTTGATTTGGTCATGACACCAACTGTGTTTGTCGGGGTAAACTGCAGTGCTGGTTATAACTTGTTGCTAACACAAATCTCCCAAAGAAAATTAATTAATTTAAAACTGCCTAAATTAGTTTAATCATTGTACATTAGTAAATGTGAATTTTTACTCTCGCTAGATTTTGAATAGAATTATGAAGTGGCCCGTGTATTATACTTGCAACAAGAAAAACTACAGTGTGTCATGTAAGTTCTTTTGCTGACGAGCCAGCTAAAACATTGACACTGATCAGAAAAATACTATTTTTGTCAATCTGGACAAAGGGCAAGCAAACACTTTGGTTAACCTATTCAAAGTCACTTTCATGAGGCATTACAGAGAAGTACCTATGCTGTCACCTCTGATCTTGTCAGTGTAGTTTGAATTCACACTGAATGTAGTGGTAGCGTTAACGCAGCTCAAACATAAAACAAACTTGACTGTTAGAGTATGTGAAAATAACACTCCAGTGTCTTTGCTTCCATTTCTGTGTTCTTAAAATTGTTATGTAAATTTTACGCTTGTGTGTTATGTGTTTGTTGATATCGTTGTTTTAATTTTACATTTTTTAATCCAGCTTTTAAAATTCAGGTTGATTTCTGGTTTTAAAAAAAGGAAAAATAAACTGAAGGACTTCTAAACCAGACTCATGAGTAGATGCATTTCTTTTCCATTCATTACTGATTTTTTTCCCTTTTACCTTCATATGACATCTAATCACTTGTGTGGTGTTGACACCATGTCAATATTTAATCAAAGTCAACACAACAGAACTGTTGTTGCGAAGCTTGAGTGTTTAGATATGTTTGAAGCCTGGGCTTTTGACTTCACTGGAAGTGTAAATGTACTTGCTTATAATTTAAAACCATGTTTAATATGAGCATCCACTATTATAACAGTATGTATATATGTAGTATGTAGTACAGTATGTAGTATATGTACAAAAGCACAGCAACAAGCAAATAGGTTCTTAGTCTTTTAAGAGAGACTTAATAAAGTCATATAATTGTTTGTCTAGACTTTGATAGAATAAAATGTTCGAAATTTCTGCCTTTACACCAACAACACTAACATTCAGAGCAAATCACAGATGGAAAATAAAATGAAAGGTGAATAGAATGAATATTAGCAACTCGTTCAGCCATCAGAAGCTATCTCTGTGCAGTGTTGGGGAGTAACGGAATACATGTACCGCCGTTACGTATTTAAAATACAAAATATGAGTAACTGTATTCCGTTACAGTT